CCTCGCCTCCTCGGGCTGCGACCTGGGGACCGGCGGCGGTTGCCGCTATCCCGCGCATGCGGCGCTTCCGTACCCTGCCTCCGCACGAGGAGCTGGCGTCCATTCCTGCCCTGGTACGGCAGCTCCCCTGGTAGTGGGTGGAGGGGCGGCGCCCGGGGCCAGCCGCGCCGCGGACTGTAGCCTGGGCTTTCCCAGGTTAGTGTTGGCGGCTCGGCGTGGTGGGCTTGGCCACGGCGGAAGGGTGATTGCTGCGGCCTGGCTGGCTCCGCAGCGAGAGATAGATCCCGTGACAAGCGGAGTCGAGGCAGTGGGTAGCGTACTCCTGTGGTGGGAATCGCTTCGCCGGATCCGGCCCCGCTACCCGATGTCAGGATGGGCAAATCCCTTTTAGTTCTCTTTGTCTTTCACGCGGACCTAAAACGTGCTGTTCAGTAAGATGCAGTCATGCGTAAAACATGGTGATCATAGCCAATAAGCACATCTAGCTTTTTGCATCATTTTGTGGTTTATTCTGTTATCGGAAGCAGTTTTACTGAAATAGCAGTAATGTGAGTTTGCAGTGTGGTGTGATGTCAGAAAGGCAGGTGTTGCTTTCTGGTACAAAGAAGTATATGGGTGAAAGGCAGTGTTCCTAAATGGTGGGACATGACATCTCTTAAACTACTGGATTTGGGGCACTCTGTTAACATCCCCAAAACTGATTATAAATTCAGTGAAAAATTAGCTGCGTCAAGGGAGATTGCTATCTGCATTGTAATCAAGCTAGGAAACATAAGTAGCCAGCAGTCCTAGAGCTGAGAATCAGTTACAACTAGTCACCAGAAAACAACCTGCTGGGAGGTGAGATGGAAGAGATGTATAGATAGAGTAGCCTGTGTAACATTTCTCTTTGTTCTAGTGATGTTTTCTTGAACCTGGGGACTTTACCGAGTATTGGTAAGCTTTGAATATGCTGGGATTTTGACTCTTTCATTGTTCTCCTGTAGTAGTTGATTTTGTAGTTAGCCACTCTCCTCACACAGGCAGGAAGACAGGGAGATCAATATCACAGCCTCAGTGAAAGAAGTGGTTTCCTTTCACATCCAAACCAATTCTATCTAGTGCCCTAAGCTGAAAAGCTACTCTCTGAGTTGTTAAGGTAGTTATGCATTATGTTGCTTTTCTTTCTTTCTTTCTTTCTTTCTTTCTTTCTTTCTTTCTTTGTACTGTTTCCCATCAACTATTTATGCTGCTCTGTTTCCATCTTTTCTGCATCATTTTTTTTCTCTAATAGCAAGCCAAACTTTTTTTTTCTATGCCTGGGGTATCAGAATTCCCATAGACTCTACCTTTGTTTTGGTGAAGAAGTTTTGATTCAACCAATAACAAAACTGTTCTTGCTATTTAGAACTGGTTTTGGCATAAGGATTTGACTGATGTAATATACCTCTTCTGTGGTTCGATATGTGAGAAATACAAATTTTTGTACTGGTTGATTGGCTGATTCTTTCTGTGGAAGACAGTTTCATTCTTCTGGCAGTTGTGGTTAAAACACATCAGGCCTTCATATGCTGAGCCTAATGAACTTTGGTACAGAATTTTTTGCAAAAACTTTCTCATCTTTGTAAAAACTTTTTCACTTCTACAAAGTTGAAGTAACAAGTTCTTTGTGAGAATATAGTGAAGCTGTTTTGACATATTTGGGGCTCTAAACATTCATAAGCCAGCCTTTCTTGAAACATTCAAGCTTGCCACAAAAATAAATGTCTTCATGTGATGTGTTCGACAAGGTTTAATTTAGAATGGAACCTTGAGGTTAATGAATGTGAAGGTTATCTGTTCTGTGGCTGGGTAGGAGACACTTGTAACACATACCAGATGTCAGTTTGTAGTAGTTGGTTTGCTAGTTTAAAAAAGTACTGCCTTTCTATCTTGAAGGGAAGACAGTGATATTTACCAGGTAGATTTTTCTAGACTTTTATGGCTGTTCTGACACTGAAGGATGGTAATGGTTCATTTTGCAGTTTATACTCTGTGACTGCTAAAGAGTTGAAAGATGCCCTGTGATGGTGCAGTGTTTGGGGCTAAAATTCAAGAGTTTTAGCAGATGTCATTACATGTGTGGAAAAGTCACATTTCTGCTGGTGAGATAATTGGGGGGAAATAAGTTCTGCGAGCAAATAATTTGATAAGGAAAAGATGCATTGAAAATTACTTTAAGTTTGGTAATTCTAAATGACTGGAAATATTTTGCTTACCTAACTATATAATTACTAGAAAATAAAAGCATAACAGTTGTGTTTTAAAACTAGGAATCTCATTCATCAACAACCTGAAAAACATGTTTTTCTTCACTGCAAAGCTGGCTTCTTACTAGAATCCTGGTTCTCATGGCATGGTAGAGCTCTTAAATTTTTAGTCCCCTGGGCTAAGCTACTGTAATATGGATGGTCAGATTGAAATCTTACTTTAGGCACAAACATTTAGGTGGCATGGTTCTTGGAAGAGAAGTCAGGTCCCTGAGAGAAGGTTTAGGCAGCTGCAGTTTGCTGGGTAGCCTAGGTATAAAGTATTTCAAGAAATATAAGTGCCCCAGTAAGTAACACTGATGAGAGTTGTTTCTGCTAGGAAATGCCAGTAAGGTGGGTATTTCTGGATTCCTGCTGCTTGAGAGTGCAGATGTCTCACTGATAAGAGGTTGTACATTAGGTACCTGCCTTTTGCTTGGAATCCGGAGCAGCGAGCTCTCCCCTGTAAAAAGAAACACAGTTGCCAACTTCAGAGAAAGCTAGTGGTGTATGGGGAAAGTGAAATTGGATTATGGTAGCATAGAGGTTAGAACAGTTGAATGGTCCAGGGCAAATAATGTTTTTGTTCCCTCCTAGCTCAGCGATTTTAAGTTTGTCAGAAAAATGTCCTAACCACCAAGCTGAAAAAAGTGTGGATAAAAGCATCTGTGCCATATACTTTACTGCTGAAGATGTAGTGCAGGTAACAGTGCGATAGATTTTTTTTTTTTGTCCAGGAAACATATTTGAAGCACTGTGGTGGGTTGACCTTGGCTGGCCACCAGGTGCCCAACAAGCTCCCATCAGCAGGGCAGGGGCACAATCTATGAGAGAAAGCTCATCTTCAAGATAAAGACAGGAAGATTACCCACCAACTACCGTCATGAGCAAAACAAAGTTGATTTGGGGAAATTATTGCCAAATAAACAGAGTGGGATAATGAGAAATAAGAAAATATTTACAAACAGTCTTCCCCCACCTCTCCTTTCTTCTCAGACTCAACTTCACTCCCAACTCTTCTACCTCATACCCGCAAGCAGCACAGGAGAGTGGGGACTGTGGTTAGTTCATCATGCTTTATCTCTTCTGCTCCTTCTTCCTCATGTTCTGCTGCTGCTCCAGCATGGGGTCCCTCCCACAGGAAAAGAGTCCATGAACTGCTCCAGTGTGGGTCCTTCCCATGGGCTGTAGTTCTTGGAATAGAATATTTCAGTTGGAAGGGACATACAATGACCATCTCATCCAACTGCCTGACCAATTCAGGGCTGACCAAAAGTTAAAGCATGTTAAGGGCGTTGAGGCATTGACCACCTCTCTTGGAAGCCTGTTCCAGTGTTTGACTGCCCTCTTGGTAAAGAAATGTTTCCTAATGTCAGGTCAAGCTCCCCTGCACAGCTTTGAACCATTCTCACATAATCTATCACTGTATCCCAGGAAGAAGAGATCAGCACCTCCCTCTCCACTACCTGGGTTACAAGAATGGGAATCTTGCATGATACCACTACAAGCAGTTATTCGTGAGCTGTTCCAGTGTGGGTCCTTTCCATGGGGTGCAGTCCTTCAGGAACAGATGCTCTGGCATGGGTCCCCTGCTGGGTTACAAGTCCTGCCAGAAAACCTGCTGCTGGATGGGGTCCTCCCCACAGGCTGCAGCCTCTTCCAGGAGCTCCAGCATAGCCTCTCTTTGGGCTGCAGTGTCCCTCAAGACACATCTACCTTCTCTGGCGTGGGGTCCTCCATGGGTTTCAGGGTGGCTGTCTGTTCTGCTGTGGACCTCCAAGGGCTGCAGGGGGACAATCTGCTTTACCATGATCTCCACGGGCTGCAGAGGACTCTCTGGTGCCTGGAGCACTTTCTCCCTGTCCTTCTTCGCTGACCTTGGTGTCTGCAGGACTGTTTCTCTAACTTTTTCTCACTCCTGTCTCTCAGCTGCTATGCAGTGTTTTCTACCCGTTCTTAAATATGTTGTTATGGAGGCACCACAAGCATCACTGGTGTGCTCAGCTTTGGACAGCAGAAAGCTGGCTGGAACTGACTCTGCACAACATGGGGGCAGCTTCTGGTGTCTTCTCATAGAAGCCACCCCTGCAGCCCTCCCCAGTACCAAAGCCTTGCCACATAAACCCAATACTAAGCACTTAATATGTCAAGGAAGACCCCCCTCCACTTCAGAATGCTTCTTCAGGTCTCAGTAGGGTGAAACTGAAAGGTGAATAGCCTGCTTGGAATGGGAACTGCTATAATTTTTCTAGTAGAGTAATGCATAAAGTAGTACAAAATAATTCTGGACCACAAAATATTTGCAGTGTTTCTGCAAACAGAATTTAGCATGTTCACAGTTGTCATTTAGCATAGATTATGGCTTTTCATCTGACAGTCTGAGAGCTGTGCTTTGCTTATAGGCATAACCAAGTGACTGGCTAAAATCAAATATAGGCCACTCTTCTCTTTTGTGAGATTCTTGTCATGTCATCACTTCGTGACAGATTTTGGAGACTGCCCTACCCCATTGCCTTTAATGGAGAAAGTTGGGATTAGCGGATAGAGGTCATAGTTGTAACACATCAGGCTGGGAACC